CGATAGTTAGAAGCTTGATCTTTGTCTCCTCCTTTATGCAGAGGAATGATTATTGCCGTCTTAAGACATTTTGGAAAAATACAATTTTGGAATGACATGTTTATTAAAGTAGGTGATTCAGAGTGCTTTCTGGCAGATTCGAAAACATTTTTAAAGTATATAAGTACGTTTAAGTAAAGTAAGTGTGCGGTAATCTTGCCGCTACACAATTTATGAGAGTGTTGTTGTGGACTGTATTTTTTGGGTTTACTGGCACCTGTCAACAGCTTGATTATGTCTATTTTCAGGTTGGTTGGATTCTCGTAAATAAATTTACACTGACTACTAATATGAATTTTAGAACTTTTATTAAACAAACAACTTCAACTGGTAACAACAACTTTACACTTAACTTATTATCTAAATATATTAAGAGATAATAGAAATTAATTCGAGCTCATTCGAGTATTAAATCTTAGCTCTTTCGGTGTTTTTGATAAACCGACCCAAAAGGCAAAAGAGAGAGAGAGAGTAAACGAGAATTATATTTTTTGGGCATCTGCACCCCGTGAGCGAATCGCGGGAACTGTCCTTTTTGGAAATTTAGAAAGCGTAGGGTATTGTCAAGTGGGTACCATCTTATGGCCACCATCTGGAGCGATAAGATGGTTTACAACACCCTAAACGTATTTCTTAAGAAAAATGGATTTTCTGTTTCACAGATATTTTGGAACAGTAAGTTTATCATTCATCAGTAAGTTATATAAGAAACTATCAGTAAGTTATATAACAAACTATCCCTCAAATATTATATATTTATACTATATTTTCAGTTTATATATTATTTCTTACATTTTTGTCTACGCTACGTCGCATAGTTTTTATAAAAAAAAATTGGAGAATTTATTTTTTCAAAGCAGACCTTCAAAATATACAGGAAGTTCCAATATTTCGTAACCATAGAACAACTACGTATTTTTGGATGAAAATAAATTAATTGTACATAGTTTACCTTTCTGCAAAAGTGCGTCGTTTGTCCGTTAGGGGGCATCAATGAAAAATAAACCCGAACGTTAATTAATTTAAAAAATATTATTTTTTAAGCTTTTTACGAAGCTTATCTATACTAATATATAAAATCCTTAAGTCACTGACATACTGTTTAATCACGATCCTGCTCAAACCACTCAACGTAAGAAGCTCAATTTTGGCATACAGGTTGATTCTAGGGTGTAGAGGTTCGATAAGAAGGAATTTTTCGAAATTCCAGTTCCAAGAGGGTGAAACCACCCCTCAAATATTACAATATTTTTTATTTAAAAAACGGTCAAGTTTCCAAAAAAACGCTTAAACACGTATATTTTATTTTGTTTTTTTACATATTTTAAGATTTTTTAAAAATGTATACAGGGTGTTTCAAAAAATCTGGTCATTGATTAATCACGATCCTGCTTAAAACGCTTGACGTAAAAAGCTGATTTTTGGAAAACGGATTGACTTTAGGGTGGAGAGGTTCGATAAGAAGGGATTTTTCGAAACTCGAATTCTAAGGGGGTGAAACTATCCCTCAAATATTAAAATATTTTTTTATTCAAAAACCGGTAAGTTTTTCGGAAAAACTCTTAAACACGTATATTTCATTTTGTTGTTTTACATATTTTAAGATTTTTTATAAATTTATACAGGGTGTTTCATAAAATATGACCATTGAGTAATCACGATTCTGCTTAAACTGCTTGACGTTTAAAGCTGATTTTTGGCAAACGGATTGACTGTAGGGTGTAGAGGTTCGATAAGGAGGGGTTTCTCGAATCTCAAATTTTAAGAGGGTGAAAACGCCCCTCAAATATTACAATATTTGTTATTTAAAAAACGAAATTTTTTAAAAAATCACACAGGGTGTTCTAAAAAGTTGGGTAATTTCTTAACCACGATTCTGCTTAAACTGCTTGACGTAAAAAGCTTATTTTTGACAAACGGATTTTTCGAAAGTCAAATTCCAACGAGATGAAACTACCTCTCAAATATTACCAAGTTATATAATAATATCGCCATATTGTTTTTTTTTCTCATGCTGACATAAATGTGAGAAACTTTTATCCAGTTTGTATGTTAATAAAAATTCTTGCTTTGCTTTATCATAACCATTACAAATGATTAATTCGACGCGAACGAAATCGCTGGTACACCCTAGTTGTCAAATATAATTATTTATGATACTAACTTACAATTCCAATTCCATACTAACATACAATTCGCAGTTCCTGTCCTTTTTGCAATTCGCCTTCCGAAATATCTTATTAACAATTTTTTTGAATTATCTTCTCTTCTTTTATACCCTCTCGAAAATACCTTTGTTGCAAACAGCTATTTTATACAGTATATTCCTACTCTAAACTTTCCTATAATAAATATAATATCAAACGCACAACTTTCCGGTTTTGCAAAGTCGTCTACCTTTATTTCGCTCCACTGCGAAAGTTTTCATACAACCAGAGAGTGGAGTAGTTCTCAAAACTTTTCCAAATTGAAAGACAAAATTTCCTTGTATTTTATAACTTTGGAAAATATTTCTGATATTATAGTATCTACTTCTTCTTTGCAGATAACTTTTGGAAAGATCATTTTATGTTATTAGCTATTTCTTAAATTATTATTACACTTTGTAACTATACTCTGTATTTTTTCTCAGGTAAGATTTCGACATGATTTCGACTTTCGACAGACGATGACTGAAGAAAAGCAAATGACGTCATAAAATAATTAACTAGAAAGAAGTGTCAACTCTGTGTTAAATCGTGGAAACACGATACGCCACCGAAAGCCTTCGTTGTCGTCTGGAGAACTAATTTTCCAATTGGCTTCATTTTTATTTCCTTCTCCGGTTATTCAATGGCGGGCCCTCTTTTAGTTTAAATGTATTTTGTACTCTTTCTTATCATAAATAAAACAAAACAAAATTTTACTCAAACATATTTATTTGAAATATGAGACAACGTGACTAAATAAATATAAAAAATAAAGAATTGAATGATTTCTACAGCAATTATTTAATTATATGCAATTTTAACGTAAATTAGTAAGTTATAAGCATGACTTACAGTAATTTGTAAATAAATACACGTATTCACAGCCATCAGGGACAGAAAACGGGGGCAGGAACATGAAAACGGGAGCCATATACAAAAACCTGAAAACAGAAAAACAAATTTTTTTATACTAAAATTAACAATGTAAATATATCAATAGGTATAAAATATAAATATGCTGTTTAAAAAAAGCGTCCATTATTCCCAAAGAGACCTGGCTTATAAATCAAAAAGAAGCAAAAAGAGACTTATAGTCGGATAACATAATCAGATTATCAGTCCGATTTATTGCATTATTGACAATAAATAAATCGCACATACTGGAGATAACTAATGTTGGCTATAGTTAAAAATGATCTTACCTTGCTGTAAATTGTTTCCATTTTCAAAAAAATCGCCGATCAAAGAGATTGTAACACCATTTTCTTGCATCTAAAAAATGTAAAAACAGTATTTATTTACTACCTATTTTTAATATTCATGGGACATACCTACTACTGCAGAAACGTCATTTTCTCCAGGATTCTTCATGTAATATATATTTTATATACTTTATTACCTTTATATTTATAAATTTCTATTGATAAATATAATAGTAAATGCGGGAAGTTTCTTGCAGCTTCAAAGCAAGAAATAGTTCTTTTTTATATTTTTTGGTATGTGGTGTTTTGTTCTTGTTTGTTTTGTATTAACACGTACCGTTTTTTTTTTAATAAAATAACGCGATTACATTTTTTCAGTTTTATACTTTTTTTTCGCAATATTTTGAAGTAATCACTTATTCCCGGTGATCATATTATTCCAGGTTATCAGTCAAATTTTTAATATATTAATTTACTGCTATGCGTTCCAGTTATACCAACTTATTTCTTTGTAAAATAAAATAAACTACTTTGAAATTAAAATGACAGACACATCTATCACTATCAGGGATCTTGTCATTGGACAGACTATAATTATAATATACATTACGTAAATTAGGTGTTGTTATTATTGTCAATATCAAGTATAACTAGCTAGATAGATTAATTAAGTAACCTTTGATAGCTCTGACCCTAAAATACGGATGTCAAGCCACCACCGAATGATCCTTTATTAGTTCTAATGTTATTTTTATCACTCATTTAGTGCAGACTGTAATAATAACAATCCAAACTGTTGTTTGGCCTTCAACTGTTAAAATACGTCCCAAATACAAGTTAACAGCCAAGGTCACAAATGTAAATAATAAAACAATTGGCGAGTATCTGAATATCGCTGTATCATGCTCTGGAAACATCGCAACAATTTATCACTTGTCCGGCACAGATTTTTAGGCAAATCATTTTCGAAAACTATAGAAAGAAACGAATGATATAATTCTATTCAATAAGTAAGAAGGCTGTTTGGAAACTTCACTAACCTCATAATAATACAAAACGTTTTTTGAAATTCACTTGAAAAAGTTTTTTTTTATTTGCATTTTAGTAGGTATATCATCATTTTAACTATCATCATCATTTTTACTCACAACTAAAGTGTCAAAACAAATGACAATATCACGAAATAAATAAATAAATGAGGCAGCTTGATATTTTTACAGCAGAGCTACCACCTGAATCACCAACGCGAAATTTAAATTCTAGTTAGTCAGCTCGGCGCCGAATATGTCTATAGTTGGCAACAATGAATTTAAAAATCGCGCCCTCGATTTCGTAACTAAAAGTTTAATTGATATCAAATATATATTTAGAAATTAGTTTAAAATTAAATAGCACCCTTAATACCTATGTTTTTTTATTTACGACATTTGTTTAAACACTGATTCTCCATCTCAATGTATAACAGAAAGATAAAATTCTATAAATAAATTCGTCCAATGGCAGTCAACTAATGTAATATTATGTAATAGACCAATCCGTATATTAGTATAAATTAAGCAATAACAATTTTAGTTAATAATAATTTTGTTGTTCTATCTGCCTATCTCTTTGGCTTCAATTGAACAACAACCAGTAGCAAATAGAGTCTCTACCGGTACAGAACAATTATAACACGATGTACTATCTAGTTATTGGTGCTATTTTCCTGATATTTTTGTATCTTCGGTTTAAAAAAACATATTGGGAGGAAAGAGGTATCCCTGGACCTAAACCGTGGCCCATTATTGGGAATATTGGAGCAAATTTCATAGGCCAGAAGACTTTGGGAGAAGTTTTTTTCGATATATACAGGTACAGCAGTAATTGGCATTTAAATACTAGTTTTTTAGTAGATTTTAAGTCTTTTACTGTCCGATTAATAATGAAAAATAATTTTAAATAAATGTTCTTTATTTGATTTTCCTTTTTTCTATTTTTTTAATTTTTTTCTCTCAGTACCCTGTTAACAATAAAGTACAAATATCATGCCTTTCAAGTATTTTTACGTTTATTTTTTTAATAAAAATGGTAACAATTTTGGGTCAACTTTCGTTTAGCTGAAATCAGTTACTAAAAAAAAAATTGTCTTTAAATAGCTACTGTGAACCACCGAAAACACAAATTTTCCTGCGGAAATGCGTAATTTCCAAATTTCGCACTTTAGAATAACTGAAATCTGCTATAAAAAAATATATTTTGCGTTTTATTTTTAATATTTTTCTGAACATATAAACACAAAAATTTTCCTGTGGAAATAAGCTGTTTTCATTTTCTAAGGAAATTTATTAGACTTTAGAATAGCTGAAATCAGTTATATAAAAAATAAATAATTTTTTGCCTTTTAGAAGCATCCACGAATTGAGGAAAATAAAAATTTTCCTGCGGAAATAAACTGTATCCATGTTCTGAGGAAATTTAATAGACTTTAGAATAGCTGAAATCAGTTATAAAAGATAAATATATTTTTGCCTTTTAGAAGCGTTTACAAACTCAGGAAAATAAACAATTTCCTGCGGAAATGCTTGAGTTTCATTTTCCATTTTTGTAAGCATAAATATATAAAAAAATTATCTTTTTATCACTTTTGAACGCATATATAAAGTCATTTTTTATATAACAGATTTCAGCTAAACGAAAGTTGAGCCACAATTTTAAATATTTTAAAACCTAAAATTTTGTATAAATGCTGTATTAATAAGTTTGCGAAAAATGTGACAGTTAATCGTGATCCAGACGATGTGGCAAAATATAAACAAATACATAAATCTCTGGTAACCTGGGTGTATATCCATTTAAAGTAAGTTATTGCTTATAAATTTTGAATTATCTTTTTAGAAAATATGAGGGTTATCCATTTGTGGGTCTATTCAGAGCTAAGTCTCCTTGTTTGTTGGTGAGGGACCCAGAATTAGTGCAACGCATCCTCGTCAAGGACTTCAAATTTTTCAGAAACAACGAGATGTATGTTGACAGAAATGTCGATATACTTTTGGGTTTTAATCCTTTTGTATTACGTGATCAGGAATGGAAGGATACTAGGCAAATGCTTACACCAGGATTCACGAGTGGAAGAGTAAGTTGATCATTGTACAGGGTGGTCGAAATTGGTCTGTTTTAACAGAGAAAATCTATTTCCTGACTAGGTACAGCAAAACCGACATAGATGGCCTGGACATGGACTCGATTTTTGAGCCATGCTTAATGGCGTAAACCGCCTGTTGATATTTTCACTGCCAACTGAGATACGGAATCTTTTTGAATTTTTTACCATTTGGAAAATTGCCCATAACTTTTGTATTTCGAGGAATAATAACATTCTGTAAAAACGTTCTTAAGGCACTTTTTTAAACACAATTCAGTGGCGTACACAGTTTTTTTCTATACTTGCTTTTTTTGTCAGAAATGATAAAAACTAAAAAAAATTTAAATGGGAATTATAGTTGGCTATGAGCTTAAAAAAAATGTTGGCGTTTAACCCTTTCCAACGATATAAAGTTATTTGTATTTCTTTCTAAGAATGAGAGAAATATTAGGTTTTTTATCTTGGTATCGAAGCGGGTCTTGATTTTGTGTTGATCTAGATGCCTAATTATTTTTATTCATATTATTATTTATCTGTATAATTAAAGATTTTTGAAAAGGCCAAATCAACATTCTATATTAGTATTAAAACGCCAGGGTTACAACTGAACAATTAAAAGGAGAATTTAGAAAGAATTGGATTGGAAAAAGGGGCCCCATATCTTGGCCTTAAGGTGCCAAGTGTGTAAAAATACACACACCGGAAAAATCTAGGGATATCATTTTATTAAAGTTAAAAATAAATGTTTTGAATAAACAACCACATATTTGTAGGCCGATTCTTTCTACTTCGATTGAAACGAAGTAGTCACACTAGTTATTTCTAAATTTGGGATATTTGTAGAAGTGTTTGTGCATTTTTTGTCAAATGTATAAAAAGCAGCTAGCATCAATTGTTCGAATTTAACCTGTACTGGCTATGTTTTTATGATAACTGGCCAGAATTCATTCAAATAACTCTGTTTAGTATTAAACGACATTATGGAGCGTAGACATCTTAACAGAGACGAAATGCTAAGGGCCATGGGTATGCTCGAAGCTGGAATGCGCCAAATCGACGTAGCTAGAGCATTAAATACAACGCAAAGTGTAATATCGCGATTGAGTGCAATCGCGTGAAAGTGGTGATGTTGCTGAAAGGCACACAGGGCGACATCGCATTACTACCCCTCAGCAAGATCATTTTTTACAATTAAATGCTCGACACCGACCGACTCTTACAGCACCAGAGCTTAGTTTAGTTGTCCAGGAAACACATAATGTAACCGTTAGTCCTGACACTGTTCGCAATAGATTAAGAGAGGTCAACTTAAGAAGCAGACGCCCCTGGAGAGCTCAACCCTTAACGAGAGGAAATCGAGAGTTACGATATTTGTGGGCTCAAGATCATGTTCAGTGGTCGAATGAACAATGGGCCAATGTTCTCTTCACGGATGAGTCACGCTTTGGAATTCATCCGGATTCGAGAAGGCTTAAGATATGGAGAGAACCAGGAAATTTTATTCGGTTGGATCAAGTTCAGGAAGTGCACCCTTATCAAGGTGGAACAGTTATGGTCAGGGGAGGAGTCCAGTTAGGTCGAAAAACCGATCTCGTTTTTCTTGAAAGGTTTCTAACAGGAATCACATATCGTGATTTAATTCTTGAACCTGTCGTGTTTCCATATGTCAATGATTTTGGGAGAAACTTCATTCTCATGCATGACAATGCACGGCCTCATACAGCCAGAGTGGTAAGTGAGTTTATCAATGCTCATCAATTAAACATCTTACCCTGGCCGGCACAATCTCCTGACCTCAACCCTATCGAGCACGTATGGGACGCGGTCCAAAGAAGAATTTTGAGAATGGGTATGCCTCGTGAAACTCGTAGGGATCTGGTTCGGGCCGTGAATGCAGCGTGGCAGGCTGTACCTCAAGAAGAGATCGACAGCCTGATCAGGAGCATGGAGAGGGCTGTAATGAACAGTAGAAGAGGCCATACCCTTTATTAAGTAAAAATGGTTTTATCTTTTTTTTTAATTCACAGTTTGGAATAAAAAAAAGTTGTATATTTTTTTGAGTTCAATTAAAATTCGGTAAATTTCGCATTTTTGTTTCCAATACGTCCTGTAAACTATTTGTTTATTTTAATTTTATTATATCAGAAATGCAAATAATAAAATTACTGAAGATGGCTGCATAAAATTGTAATATCCCTAGACTTTTCCGGTGTGTGTAGTTTGGGTACCTAGGTCGACTCAGCCTTAAATGAGTACTTGGGATTCACAATCCTGAGGTAATAATAGGCGGTTGAAGCGTAGTGCTAGCCACATTACCTTCCTTGGATACCCAACGGCTCTAGTATGGCAAGCTGTACCTTGCTACTCCCAAGGCGTTAAACGCTATATACGGGAGCTATTATTATAGAAAGAGATGCAAAAAAGTCAAATAATTTAGATACAAATAGCTTAAAAAATCACCAAAATCGGCCCACTAGAACAAAACATATTAAACAAAATATATCAAAATTTTAATGTACCCGTTTTTGCTACCCAAGATGCTAAATGAGAATGTACTGAAGTGTCACGGGGACCTATTGTATTGTAAAAATTAAAAATTAGATGAAGCTTTGTTCGTCATAAATTATTAATTTCAGCTCAAAGGCCTTTTTCCAATTATCACAAGTATAACTCAAGAGTTTGTCCGATTTATTGAGCATCATCCCAATGCTCACACTGAGGGTATCGAAACAAGGCTTCTGACAAAACGTTTTACTTCGGACAACGTTGCTAAAGCTGCTTTCGGCATTGACGGTAAAGCTTTTGAAAGTTATGACAACATGTCTGATTTCATGCAAATGGCCAATAGTTTCTTTACACCCGGTACAATACAAGCTATTTTGTTGCAAATTGTTCAGATATTTCCAGCCTCGGTAAAATACTTTCCCATCAAGTAAGTATAACACGCATATAAATAATAATAATAATAAAAGTACGATAAAAAATATTTTAACTTTATATACAGGGTGGTCCGAACTGTACTCCGGAAACTTCCGCAGCAAATTCTGCGGATAAAAATAAGTAAAAAAGTTCGTGTTCTAAAATGCTTGGTTTCGGAGATACAGGGTGTGGAAGTTTCATTTTTATTTCGATTTTTTTCATATAATTTCTGAAGTAACGCCAATATTTGGATGAAAATTGGTGTCTGGGAGTTTTTTGATGTGAGAAATTTGATTTTGATGTCAATATGACTCTTATTTGTAGGGGGCGCCACCTACATGTGTTTTAACTGGTTTGAAGAGTTATAATTTTTTATCCGTACCTGTATAAAACTACTGAGTGAAAAAATGTACATTTCCGTGATTTTTTACGTAAAAAATGTCTCTTGGTAAAAATCGCTACGAGCAACCGTTTTCAAGAAATTTAGAATGGAAATAGTCAATACATGTCATTATTGACAAAAAAAAATAAACACAGTAGATAAATTATTTGACTGAAATAATAAATTTATGAAATTTTTATTTTTTTATATTAATCATAAATTTTCCTGCAAAAAATGATTGGCACAAAAACATTTCAAATTTATGATATCAGTCTGATAACTATTTTGTCAACATGTTTAATTTATGTCAATGATGACAGGTATTGATAATTTTGATTCCAAATATCTCGAGAACCATTACTCGTAGCGATTTTTATCAAGAGGCCTTTTTTACGTAAAAAACGTCGTAAATGTATATTTTTTACTCAGTAGTTTTATACAGGTACGGACGAAAAGTTATTAGACTTCAAACCAGTTAAAAAATATGTAGGTGGCGCCCTCTACAAGTAGGAGTCATATTGACTTCAAAATCAAATTTCTCATGTCAAAAAACTCCCAGATACCAATTTTCATCCAAATATTGACGTTACTTCAGAAATTATTTGGAAAAAGTCGAAATAAAAATGAAACCTCCACCCTATATCTCCGAAACTGAGCATTTAAGGACATACATTTATACGACCTTTTTTACTTATTTTTATCTGCAGAATATATAACCTTGTATTTTAAAACCTCTGTATATTTTCAGATTAGTACCTACTAAATTGGAGAACCAAATTGTTTCGATAATAGTCGACGTAAAACGACACAGAACAAACAACGATGCAGTGCACAAAGACTATCTTCAATTCCTGCTAGAATTGAACAAGGAAAAAAAATTCAGTGACAAGGAGATCACAGCTCACGCGAGCACATTCTTTTTTGACGGCTACTTCACGTCATCCCTTGTCCTAAGCTATATCCTTCTCTGTTTAGCTCAAAACCCGGAATACCAAGAACGAGTGAGAGAGGAAATACGTAAAGTTGAGGAGAATAATAATGGGGAAATTACTTATGAGGGTCTGCAGGAGATGGAGTTAGTGAACGCTTGTTTTTTTGGTAACTACAGATAATTTTTCTTTTTTCTTTTTATTTTGCTGTGTGGTGGGGACATACTAATTTTAGATTTTTGCTGCTTATTGAAATTGTTAGTGTATTGTTGAATATCTACCCACATTCTTAATTAATCTAATCGACTTAGGTCCTAATGGTATGATCACACAAAATTGTTCACAAATAAAAAGAAAGTTACGGACTATATCTTCATATTAAAACCCTTTGATAGAAATATATTATAAAATATACTCCTTTCTTGTTGATTGACTCTTTAACAATAAAACTTGACTGAATATTGACTCTTTAATCTTTAACAATAAAACTAATAAACAACAGAAACCGGTTATTTGTAATTGAGAGTAACAGTACAGAACACTTTGAATAAGAAGACTAAGGTAGGAGCATATCAAAAATCTTAGGTACACCGCGATGGGCCTCAAATATGGCCGACTTAAATTCCGGTTTATCAGTGTCATTCTAATTTTATTTAAAAAATGTAAAACTATGATGTAGGGTAGACGTGGGGTAGACTCAATAATTTGTAATTGGGTTGGTAAGGGGGTATGGGAAGGGTTAAAAATTTTAAAAAATTGTAACTCCAAAATTACAGTAGCTAGCAAAACGTGGTTTTTAATTTTAGATTTGGAATAATATTTGCAACAAAATTTGTAATAACATCAAAATCAGTCAAAGTCGCAGTTTTTGAGATAAAAAAAATTGGAAAAATTCCTGTACTTTGAAACAAAAAGAACTGCCTACCAACTTTTTATTAACATATTTTAGTATGGGCGGCTATACGTGCCTCCCGGTGCCAATTTTTTTGTTTGTACCCTTAATAATTATACTGTTATAGTGTTACTAATATTTATTAAAATCAAGCCTGTATCGTTACTTTTAACGTTTTTAAATTTTAATATAGAGTTCTAATGCAATATGTTCATATAGCATTACGAAAATAGTCACAAAAGCCATTTCGTGATATTTAAAAATGACATCATAAAGTAATGATAGTTGAAAAAATTGCAAGTTGTTGGTAGCAAGTTCATTTCTTTTGTTGGAACGCATTTTTTTACTCCTCATAAGCTTAACAATACCAAGAACGGTTCTCTGCTATATTGGAACAAACCTAATATATTTAAATCACTCATGAAAATTTTGTAAAAAAGATTGAGTTTATAGTACTCAATCTTTTTTACAAAATCTCAAATAAAGAACCTGACATAGAGCTTTTTTCAAACAATGGCTCACCCTGTATACTAATATTTTGTAGAATCCTTACGGATGTATCCTGTTCTGGAAATGTTAACAAAAGTATGTACAGAGCCTTACGAATATACTTGCGAAGATCCAGATTTTAAAAAGATGACAGTCAGCTTTAAACCGAATGATGTTGTCATACTTCCCTATGGAATGTTCGGGAAAGACCCGAAATATTTCAAGGACCCAGAGAAATTCTACCCAGAGAGAATGATGGACAAGGATGGAACCACTAATAGAGTGTTCTTTCCTTTTGGGTTAGGACCCAGAGTGTGTATAGGTAGACTATAACTTTCACTCTCATCAAATAAAATGCCATTTTTAGCAGTTATATCATCATAAATATAGTATTTAATAAGTTTTTTTTATTTAATAAACATATTTATATCATTTCAGGACAGCGACTTGGAATTATGCAAGTAAAAATCGGACTAGTTCACGTGATTAAAAACTTTGAAGTCACTATAAGCCCGAAACTTCAACAACCTATTAAAATGCATCCCTTCAATTTCATGAATGAGGTCAAGGGTGGCGTTTGGTTAAGATACAAAAAGATCAAGAACTAAAAAATGTACATAGCGTATGATCGAAAAAAAAAACGGCGTCAAAGACGGCCGGGGAATATCAATCGATGCTAATTTTGGCAGGGTCAAGTCCTAGACGTCATCCAGACCCACAAATCTATTTCCAAAAAATAGTTTTTCTCGAATTTTAAAGTACACAATTTAAAAATCATCGTCTAGAGATTGGCCTCGTCAAAATTAGCATCGATTGTCATTCCTCGGCCGTCTATGACGCCGTTTTTTTTTCGATCGTATGGTACAAGTTGTTGTTAAATTTGAAAAAATGTCTGTATTACAGTGATTTTGTAAAATAAAATGTAAATATAATAGTATATATTTTGTGTTGTGTTTTATTTTATTTTCCATATAAATATACCCTGAATAATAATAAAATACACTCCAACGGCTATACTATTGTTATTTTTTGAAAGCGATAAGAATAAAAATATTGTTTGCCAAAATATTTTATTTAATTTTTAAAGGGAATTCAAAAAATATACGTATCTCGGGATTTAGTATTATTTTTATTCAAATATAAATGTTCCATGAAAAAATTAAATTTTAAAACTGTCTTTAAAAAAATTATTTGTAAAGAGATATTTTGGATTTTACTTAACTACACTATGGTGTAAAATATTATAATAATTAATCTATACTAATATATAAAATCCTTAAGTGACATACTGATTAATCACGATCCTGCTCAAACCACTCAACGTAAGAAGCTCAATTTTGGCATACAGGTTGATTCTAGGGTGTCGAGGTTCGATAAAAAAGGATTTTTCGAAATTCCAGTTCCAAGAGGGTGAAACCACCGCTCAAATATTACAATATTTCTTTTATTTAAAAAACGGTCAAGTTTCCAAAAAAAAAAGGTTAAACACGTATATTTTATTTTGTTTTTTACATATTATAAGATTTTTTAAAAATTTATACATGTGTTTCATAAAATATGACCATTGAGTAATCACGATTCTGCTTAAACTGCTTGACGTTTAAAGCTGATTTTTGGCAAACGGATTGACTGTGGGGTGTAGAGGTTCGATAAGGAGGGGTTTCTCGAATCTCAAATTCCAAGAGAGCGAAAACGCCCCTCAAATATTATAATATTTGTTATTTAAAAACGGTTATTCTTTCGGGAAAAGGCTTGGACAAGCATAATTTATTTGTTTTCTTTACATATTTTGAAATTTTTTAAAAAATCATACAGGGTGTTCCAAAAAGTTGGGTAATTTCTTAACCACGATTCTGCTTAAACTGCTTGACGTAAAAAGCTTATTTTTGGCAAACGGATTTTTCGAAAGTCAAATTCCAACGAGATGAAACTACCCCTCAAATATTACCAAGTTATATAATAATATCGCCATATTGTTTTTTTCTCATGCTGACATAATAAATGTGAGAAAATTTTATCCAGTTTGTATGTTAATGGAATTTCTTGCTTTGCTTTATCATCACCATCACAAATGATTAATTCGACCCGAACGAAGTCGCATAAAATTTGTGGGCATATTTGAAGACTTAAAAAATGTAGTTTGAAATTTTGAAAAAGTAATAAATTAAAAATTAATAAATAATTCTATTCACAAAACGTGAACTAAAATGAACAGTGTTGTTTTCAAGCATTCCTGGATGCACTATATCTATTTCTTTTTCGGCTGTGTATATGCTAATGTAAAAATCAGAGTTAATTTAAACAATCATGGCGCAATAGTTTAAAAATAGCTTGCTGCAATTTAAACAATAAAGAGTCTTTGATTTATTTTTTTATTTATCTCTGGGACATATGTGAAATAATAAATATCAGTGATATAACTAGATGTTCTGAAGGCCAGTGTAATATGGCGATGTTTTATCTAGTTCTTGTCGTGTTTTCATTGATATTTTTGTATTTTGGATTAAAAAAATCATATTGGGATAAACGTGGAGTACCTGGACCCAAACCATGGCCTTTTATAGGGAATATTGGACCGCATTTTTTGGGCAGGAAGACTCTTGGACAGGTTTTTGTGGATATCTACAGGTAGGGGATAAAATAAATTATATTTTTAATATAATAAAATGATAGCAATTTGTTAAACGGTAAAGACAGATCATAAAGCCCATATTTTAAGTTCCCTCTACAAGGTTATTCACAAATTTATTCGTGTTAAAATTGTATAATAAATATAGAATCTCTTTGATTGTTACATTACAAGTCAGAACAGTGTTATCCAGTCATTAGTTATAAATTATTTGATTATGCGGTATACATTTTTTCTAGAAAGTATGAGGGTTATCCATTTGTGGGAACATTTAGAGCTGGAACACCCTGTCTATTAGTCAGGGACCCTGAGCTAGTCCATCGTATCTTGGTAAAAGATTTCAAATCTTTCCGAAATAATGAGATGTACGTAGACAAAGATACGGATACTTTGTTTAATAGAAACCCTTTTGCATTACGTGATCAAGAATGGAAAGATACCAGACAAATGCTCACACCAGGATTCACCAGTGGAAGAGTATGTAACTATAAATATATAAATAAATATCAAACAAAAGATGTTATCGTGGAGATGGTATCGTTTATTGGGCAAGTCTACAGTAAGATTAGCCATGAAACAATAGTCATTTAATAAATTCTCTCTTCTTTTTTAAATAAATATCTCTATTTTTGCAAGAAGAACTTATGAATAACATAAATATAATTCAAATATACCATATTATATGAACTTATAACCAACTAAAGACTTATTTTTAGCTAAAGAATCTTTTTCCAATAATGACAAGCATTACAAAGGACTTTATCAAGTTTATTGAGCACCACCCCACTGCAAACACTGATGGTATCGAAACCAGACTCTTGACAAAACGTTACACTTTGGACAACGTTGCCAAAGCTGCTTTTGGAATCGATGGTAAATCTTTCGAGAGTTATGAAGAATTGTCCGATTTCATGCAGCTGGCCAACAGTTTTCTCACACCCGGTACATTGCACGGCTTGTTCATGCAGGTTATACAGATTTTTCCCGTACTTTTAAGGATTATTCCTCCCAAGTAGGTATAAAAAGGTATTTTGAAGTAAGTCTGACAACTACGCAATTATTTTAATGTGTTTCATTTAGAATACTGGGCCATCCTGTATTATTATAGACAGACTATCAATGACTAAAGAATGCAAGAACCAATAACACAGAGACCAAATTGTTACCATGTCTCCAAACAGTGCCGTGGAAAACGTTTTTCTTAACTTAGCTACTTCAAGAGATATTTGATATTTTTCATAAATGTTTTGACTACGCCTATGATGTATGCGGCGGTATCATACTAATTAATTATAAAAAAAACGTATTAAAATGTTAATAAAAGGTACAAAACTAAAATCGACGTATAGCATATATCAAGTACCTTTAATATCAGAAAAATAATTATGAAATTCAATAAAAAAAACGCTAAAAAGGTGGAGTGGACTGTTTATTCTGGCTCTTTGTTATCGTTGCAGCTTTTACACTTGAAAACTGAACAATTCACCATTGTAATAAAGTTTATACAAAATTCATTACAGACAAAAACCTATGAAAATTCACTAAAATTGTTGCTGTCTCCAAAAAAATGGCGTCTAACAACACAAATTCTACTCCACCCCGTATATGGGCGTTACAACTTGTATTCTTTAGTAACCTTTGAATAAGAAGGCTAACCTCTATTCTTTTTTAGATTAATCAGTGGCGATATAGAAAAAAAGATGATATCAATAATATCCGAGGTAAGGCAGCACAGACTCCAAAATGACGCCATTCACAAAGATTACCTCCAATTTTTAATCGAACTGGGCAAAGAAAACAAATTCTCCGACACTGAAGTGACAGCTCACGCCACCACGTTCTTTTTTGACGGCTACGTCACTTCGTCATTGGTCCTGAGCTATGCCCTTCTCTGTCTCGCTCAAAACACGAAATATCAAGAGAGAGTGAGAGAAGAAATATTGAAAACTGAGGAAAAAAATAATGGTGAAGTAACTTATGAGGCTCTACAAGAGATGGAGTTGCTGCACGCTTGCCTTTGGGGTAGGCATCTAGATAATATACAGGGTGGCGCCTCTGATACGACGGAAGCTCCAAGGAGAAGAGAACGATAGTTTGTATTGAAGTGAAATTTTGTGAGAGTATATTGCTTGATTTAGAGCATTTTTTAAAGATGTAGAGAGTTCTACAGGGTGTCCCTAAAAAAAGTTACATATCGAAGTTTTGTTTTTTGTAATGGAACACCCTATATATTAATTGATTTTCGGATTCTAGGAGAAAAATAAAGGTGAGTTTTATTAGAGAAATATATGAATGAAATGTAAGGTTTTTGATATATTTAACATTTTCTAAAAATAAAGAACAATTTTTAAATTACAATAAAAGCTACCTAAATTGAAATTTACCCGGTATAGATTAATATGTAGTTAAAACAACTATTGTACTTTAAATCAAATTAAAACTTGATCCAAAAAGTTATACAGGGTGAGACAAAATTAATATTGAATATTGGTCACCACTAAAAGCATGAAACTCTTTTATTTTAAATGGAACACCTAGTATATTATTCCGATATTCAATGGGGAAATCATGTCTCTTCAAAATACTATTAAGGTTGCCTACCCCTCAAACAAAGATTTTCTTAGATATTTTCATTTTTATGATTCTAGGTGGCTGTGATATGTCTGACATTATTTCACAACATAGCGGTCTAATTAGTCCAACTTTAACAACTAGTTATCATTTTGTGTCAGTTAAAACAAAAAAAAAATCAAAGAAAATTGCCGAAAATGCAAACTTATCCTACATCAGAAAGAATTCATATGATTCTGTAAGTTGGTGAATGCAGTGTTTATTCATCAATTAATAGAATACTTATGTGCTCCTGATTTTATCTAGTCTGGGTTTTTTATGGGCATATGTTAAAGACAGTGTTTACAAACTATTGTCGACAACATGAGAAAAATAATTGTAGCTACTTTTCGAAGTAGAACTCCACATATACCTTTTGAAATGAAAAGATCTTTTGAAGAGAGAATCATTTTATGCAGTTAACAGGAAAGGAAGCATTTTGAGCATTTGATTTCATCTAGCTAATTTTTGTCACATAATTATAGATTTATATCTAGTTTTAATTCTGTAATAATTAATTTTTTAAAGGTGCATCTTTTTATTGTTAAATTAATAAAAGATATATCACCAGTTATCCCTAGATTTTTTGAAATAATAAATATCTTCTGACGCAAAATCATAAAAATTAAAATATCTAAAAGAATCTTTGTCTAAAGGGTAGGCAACTTTAATAATATTTTGAAGATATATGAATTCCCCATTGAACACCGGAATAATATACTGGGTGTCCCATTTATAATAAAAAAGTAACTTGCTTTTAAAAATGGTCAATGTGCCATATTAATTTTGTTTCACCCTGTATAACTTTTCGGGCAAAATTTTAATTTGGTTTAACAATACAATGGTTACTGTAATTAAACATCAGACTATACAGGGTAAATTAAGATTTAGGTAGCTGTTATTGAAATTGAAAATTTACTCTTCATTTTCACAAAATGTGAAATATCTCAAAATCCTTACCGTTTAGGCATATGCTTCTTTAATAAAACTCACCTTTATTTTTTTTAGAATCGGAAAATCAATTAATATATAGGGTATTCCATTACAAAAAACAAAACTTTGATGTGTAACTTTTTTTGGAGACACCCTGCATAACTCTATATATTTTTATAAAATGCTTTCAATTAACTTTGCGCCACCTTGTACAGGAGAGGCAGCTGATACTTCTGGGTAGACCAGCTTCCTCAAGTGGTACACAAGCTATCATCTCCTCTAGTAAGGGTCGGGAACCTATCTCTAGACCCAACAGGCTAAACAAGCTACGAGAGTAGATCACAGCGGATCAAGAGTACGAAGATACTTCCGACTGCTCCAGAGAAGGCACCAAGGAGCCACATATTCTTGAAACATGAGAATTAATACACTACTTAAAGTAAAAATAATACAATTCTCTTTTTCAGAATCAATTCGCCTTTTTCCTGTCGGTGATATCCTTACAAAAGCATGTACAGAACCCTTCGAGTACACACCTGAAGACCCTTCATTTAAAAAGATAACACTTAACGTTAAAGTCGGAGATATCGTAATGATACCCTTCTCAATGTTTAGTAAAGACCCGAAATACTTCGAAAACCCTGAAAAATTCTATCCAGAAAGAATGTTGGGCAAGGATGGTACCATTAACAAGGTGTTCTACCCATTTGGTATGGGACCTAGGGCTTGTATAGGTTGTTAAAACCCATATATAATTAAAAAAAGTGTATTTTAAAAAGCATTTTGTAGGACAACGTCTGGGGACAATGCAAATCAAGATTGGGCTGGTTCATGTCATTAAAAACTTCGAGGTTACTGTGAGTCCGAAACTGCAACAACCGATAAAGTATCATCCGTTCAACATCATGAATGAAATTAAAGGGGGTTTATGGTTGAAGTACAAAAAAATAAAGTAGGAACGGTATACTTTGACTTTCTATCTCGTTTATATGAAATTTATTTTAGTTTGATTTGTAATTCTGAAGTTTTATTTTAATTTGTTTAAATAAACTAATAGTCTTTAAATATTGAGTTTTATTTTATAGTGTTATTTCTATATAAGGGCTGACAAAGGTTAGTCTTGGGTAGAGATTTCCGTATGTAAGAAGAGTACAATGCGTTTATAATGTACTGAACAAAGAGAGGACAGTAAACACGTTGCCAAACGTATGAAATAAATCGAGAAACTGTGCACATCACCATAAGAGACGTGGAAGGGGACATAGCAGATTTGTCGCAGTTGACCGGTCGACCCAATCAACGAATCAATACCTCTCTCAGTACTTAAAGTTCTAGGGAAAGGTGTACGTCATACGTTCAGCTTCACGATTTAATTATGTCTCGTGATACTTAATTTGTTTATTTATTAACGAGTTGTTGTAATTTTCCCTGTAGCTTGAATTTTTTAAGTGCAAGCTAGAAACACTTGCATTTTTGGTAAAAATAAGTGGAATTGAGTGGGTGTTCGATAGTGGTCGCGCTATTAGAACTCTGAATTCAAAAATCGATATCTCGAAATCTATTAGAAATAATAGATTGTAGTTTTTTCAAGAACTTTGTTAATATTTCTGCTGTATTTTCTTTGTAGACAGTATGTGAAAATCTTTATCAATAAAAAAATTACACGATTGCCGAAAATTGCTATGCTCTAAAAGTAAATGGATGGATTGTTTACAATTTTTGAATGGAAAAAACAACCTTATCGAATTTTCCTTATGTAAACATATTGTAAAATATCCGATTTTAAAAATAAAAAAAGTTTCAATATCTAAAGTGGTTCTTGAGTTATGGTCTGTTATGTGTTAAAAAGTTGTGATGTAAATGCCGACCCAAAAGTAACAGTTGCCAGCACGGTATAGTCTTGTATTATACCGTATCGAAATAAAAAAACGGCGTCTAGTTGGCTGGAAAATGACGATCAATGACATTTCCCATATAAATTTACATATAAAATGACAGCGATCTTCGTTTCATAGCCATCGCTGACATCGTTTTTTTTCGATCATACGGTATTATTGTGTTGTAATTTTTGAAAATATATACCGGGTGGGTCTCAAAAGTGACTCACCCCTATAACTTTTTTATTTTTTCAGATAAAAAGACCAGATTTGGTATGTTAGTTATATGACATAAATTAGAATTGATTGACGTATTCAATTGTTTTTGGTGACTTCCTGTTTCTCCGGAAATGACTAGAACTTTTGATTTTTGAATGACACCTTGGGTATTTTCTTACTTTATTCGATAGAAAATGACATTCTTACTCTACTGTCTGTATCATGACAATTTAACTCAAAATACCAAATGTATGGTACCAAATTATTCCTAAAAAAAATGCTTTTAAAATTGAGATATGATTAAAAATTCGATTTGGGCACCTTTTAACCGTCCAGGAGAAGACACGAAAAACATTAGACGATCAAATCTATTTTTCCAAGGCTCCTGGATTAAAAATTAGCGATTTTAACACAGCCATGGCACTATAGATTGAAATTTAAAATACGATTTTTTAAGCAAGTTGACGTATGATATGTCATTCTATTCAGTGTCATTTTCTATCGAATAAAGCAAAAATATACCGAGGGTGCCATTTAAAAATCAAAAAGTTGTAGTGATTTCCGGTTAAACAAGAAGTGACCAAAAACAATTGAATACGTCAATCGATTCTAATTTATGTCATATATTAACATACCCGATCTCGTTTTTTTATTTGAAAAAATAAAAAAGTTATTGGGGTGAGCCACTTTTGAGACGCACCCGGTATATACTAAAATTTGTGAAAAAAATATAACCTAATAAAAGTCTGACACAACTGAAATTTGCAAGAAGTATATAAAATTATATGAACTTTAAAAACACGTATACTTTCTAACTTCACACTTGCACAATCTCCATCACGAGTGAATGCTTTGCTGTAGTATACAAGCTCAGTAGTTTTAGGATTTTGATTTGTTCATAGTTGATAACGATCAATATAATAATAATAGCTCCCGTATATAGCGTTTAACGCCTTGGGAGTAGCAAGGTACAGCCAAGGTTGCCATACTAGAGCCGTTCGGTATACAAGGAAGGTAATGTGGCTAGTACTACGCTTCAACCGCCTATTTTTACCTGAGGATTGTGAATCCCACCCATCCCACCACCCATTTAATGCAGAGTCGACCTAGGTAACCAAACTATTTTTATTTTAATAAAAATAGTCGGCTGATGAAATGCCGGGTGTGGGATTCGAACCCTCTATCAGTCTCAACCAACCCAATCTCTTGAGATTGGTAGACGAGAGCCTGTAGCTCTACGTCACCGGGCACCTTGATAACGATAACGATCAATAAATATTAAAAAAAAATAACAAAGCCAACAATTCTAAAAACAATAGCAAAAGAAAAACAGTCAAAATACAAAAATATTTATTAAAAATTAGATAAGCAACATTAGATACAACAAAACTTACACGTTTAATATTAGAATACAAAAAATAAGAATATCTTATTTGATTTTTTTGTATTTCAGCCAAACGCCTCCCTGGACTTCGTTCATAAAATTGAATGCACAGTATGAAATTGGCTGCTGCAACTTCGGGCTGGTTGTTATCTCGAAGTTTTTGATCAGATAAACTAGTCCAAGTTTAATTTGCAGAATTCCAAGTCTCTGACCTATAAGAGAATATTCACTAGTAATACCACTAGAGGTCAAATTATTTCCGGAAATTGTTTCGAGCTTATGAATATTTTGAAAATTATCCCGAGTCGAAGACGAGGGATAATTTTCTAAAAATGTTCATGAGCGAGAAAAAATGTCCGGATTTAATTTGACCTCGTTTGGTATTCGGTAAGAAAATTCCACACCAAATTGTGTTTGAAAATCAAATAATTAAAATGTATTTTTCGATTTTTGGTCGAATTGATTATTTAGTTACTATGATAACTAAGTGACACCCAAACCCATCCCAAACCTAAAACTAATTTAGTTTTGAAGCTGTCAAGCGGCACGGCTTAAAAAAAATGTTTCACTTCGGTCATGAAAGCGAAGAAAATATTCGCCAGGAAATTAAGCAGTTGACACCCGCGAATACTAGGATATCGAAGTCAAGAGTATGAAAGCGGTTTACAAACTTTCATCTCAGCTTTGTAATTAAAATGCATCAAAATTAACATGTAAACAAATAAAAACCAGACTCTCAAAAAGATTCTGTCATTTTTAACGTCAAAAAATTTCCAGTATAATTCGCTGTTGGGTGCCCACAAGGAAAAAAATTTCACTAAAATATATCCGTTCCCATGGTGATTTATCAAAAAAACACGTTTTGATTGGTTAAAAATTACAGGTGTGGAATTTTCATATTAATGACATTTTTATATACTAAGCAATAATACACACATGGCCAAAATTATTGCATATAACGATATTTTTATTTTATTTTGGACCTAATACGATTTTTTTAATATTTTTGGACATAGTGGCTTACTACACGACTAATATAAAATTAAAAATCTAAGTGCAACTAGGCTGTTATTATAATTTTATTTCATAATGAGTGAAAATCAACAAAAACAAATTTAATTTTAAACAGAATATATTGAAAACAATTTCTCACAACTAATAGTCTCTATTGCCTCCTCGAGCCTCAATGCAAGCTGTGAGACGACGTAGCATGCCCTCAATTAAGTTGTCCAGAAGTTGTTGAGGAATGGCTTCCCATGTTTCGCGCGCAGCAATTTCCAATTCATTTAAGGTACGGGGGAGGATCATTCCTTTTGGCAATATGGCGTTTTAGTATGTCCTAAGCATGCTCGATCGCATTCATATCTGGAGACATCGGTGGCCACCACAGTTTTCTTATACCCTCTTCCTCAAAAAATTCGCAAACCGCTAAAGTGCGAAGGGGAGGAACATTATCGTCCATGTAAACAAATTCATCCCACTGCCCATTGAAATGGACGCACAATAGGCTCTAAAACGTCTCTAATATATTAGGCACTTGTCATTGTGCCATCAATAAAAACAAGAGGTGTTCGAGCTCCATGCATTATACCTGCCCATACCATAATTCAAACGTGCTCGTCTTCCAGATGCTCTCCAGAACAAAGTTCGTCGCGAGTCTGACACTAGGCCTATTCTCCTCAGCCCATTGTAGTCGCGTAATTTTGTGCTGTAAATTAAGCTTCGGAACACGTAGAGGCCTCCGTAAATATAATCCTCTGTTATGGAGTCTTCTTGCTATGGTCTTTCTTGAAACATTTACTCCTTCAAGGCGAGCTAACTCATTTTTAATAGCAGTACTAGAGAGCAGGGGATTGCGTCTTGCAATTAGGGATATTTGACGGTCTTGCACAGCAGTAGTAACTTTCTTTTTACCTGTCTCCCAGAATATTTTTAATATTCGCGAAAAATCGCTTTGGTTAACTCCTACAATTTCAGCCATTGCAACTTTCCGGTAGCCCTGTTGAGACAGTGTTACTGTTCTGACTCTATTAAACTGTGAAATAATATTTCTAGGAATTTTAAGCCCAAACCAATGGTCAAATTTCCACTGAAACTCAAGAGACCACAAATCGAAATGTGCAAGAATTTGTAATAATATTGGGTCTGAACGATCATATCGGTTTTAACATAAGATGTTTATTATAGATTATCAAAGCTATGTAAAAAAAGATTATTTAAATTCCTTTCCGTATATTTTTAAACGATATATGCAATAATTTTGGCCATGTGTGTATATTAGAGATCTTAATTATGTAACAAAATATGCTGGGAATCCTGGAAACCAAGGAAGACCTTAAAAGAATAGAGTGGATACGACAAAAGACACAGGTATTAGATGTCATCCACAGAGTCAAATCCCTCAAATGGCAATGGACAGGACACCTGGCAAGAAGGACGGACAACAGAAGGACCACAAAAAAAATTCAGCATGGTAACCACGAGGAATTAAAAGACCTGGAAGAAGACCAAACTTGAGAGGGGACCATGATATTAGAAAGTTATCAGGGATAACTTATGCCCGCATAGTC